GGTCAATCTCCCTCTGTACCCTCTCCAGTGCTATCACATCCTGGTCAGTCTCCCTCTGTACCCTCTCCAATGTTATCACAGCCCTCCTATAGTATGGATTCCAGAACTGTACATAATATTCTAGCTATGGTCTAACCAATATTTTAGACAGTCCCAGCATAATCTCCCTGCTTTTAAACTCCCTGCCTTGGCTAATAAAGGCAGGACTCCCATATGCCTTCTTAACTGTCTATCCACATGTCGTGATACCTAAAGATCTGGTGGACATGCACACCAAGGTCCCTCTGATCCTCAGTGTTTCCCAAGATCCTCCCGTTATCTTGCCTTGTTTGTCCTGCCTGAGTACACCACCTCACATTTCTCCAGGTTGAGTTCCATTCGCCACTGAGAAGTCCATCTGACCAGCTTGTCTAGATCCTCCTGTAATCTGAGTCTGCTGCCTCACTATTTACTCCTCCACCAGTTATTATATCATCTGCTAACTTCCTGATCAATCCTCCTACATTCAAGTCTAAATCATTTATATAACCTATAAACAGCAAAGGCCCCAACATTGACCCCTGTAGGATCCCAGCAGACAAGGCTTCCAGTCTCACAAACAGCCTTCAACCATCACCATCTGCTTCCTGCGACTCAGCCAATTGTGGATCCAATTTGCCAAATTTCCTTGGATCCCAGAGCTCTTAGTTTTGCTATCGGTCTCCCAAGTGAGACGAGCAAAAACCTTGCTGAAGTTCAAGTGGACTATGTCGAATACATTGCCTTCACCTACCCACCTGCTCACCTCCTTGAAAAATGTAATCAATTTGGTCAGAAACAGAAACAGGGATTGCTGGAGTATGTCAGCAGTCCTGACTGTATCTGTGGAGAGAGGTACAGAGTTAACATTTCAAATCCTAGTGACCCGTCTTCAGACATGACCTCACCTCAATATGGTTATGTTGACTGGCGTTGACAAATCCCTGCCTCTCTAATGCAGATTAATCTGTCCCTCAGAATTGCTTCCAGTAGTTTCCCCAACACTGAGGTTACACTAACTAGCCTGTAGTTTCCTGGTTTATCCTTTGCTGTCTTCTTGAATAACCACATTGACTGTCCACCAGTTCACCAGCACCTTTCCTGTAGCTGGAGACGAATTGAAAATTATTGCTAGTACCCCTACTATTCCCTCCCTTGTCTCACTGAACAGCCTGGGATACATTTCACCCAGTCCTGGAGAATTATATGTTTTTAAAACTGCCAGATCACTCTGAACTTCCTCTCTGTCTACGCTCATTTCATTAATCGTATCACAGATCTTCTCCCTGATTTCTATAGTCGTATCATCCCTCTCACTAGTGAACACCAACACAAAGTATTTATTTAGACCCCGACCTAAATCTTCCAACTCCTTGCACAAATTACACTGAGGCCCTTAATGGCCCCTACTCTTTCCCTCATTATCCTCTGTCCTTGATGTACTTTTAAAATAACTTAGGATTTTCCTTTATTTTCCTTGTCATTATCCTTTCATATCTCCTTTTAGCTCTCCTAATTTCCTCTTTGCTTTCCTAATTTCCTTTTTGCTTTATCTCACACTGTCTCTCTGTGGCTGTCTCTCAGTCTCTCTCTCTCTCTCTCACATGTTTATTTGTCTAGTCTCACTTATGTCAATGCGTCATTCTGTAATCAACATTTTATTTTAGGTTCTTTGCCTCTCCCTCTCTCTCACCCACTTCCTTCTTCCACTCTCAATCAGAGGTAAAAGAATGGACTGTCTTTGGGATGAGCATGGGGCGATGGTTTGAGGAGGTGTGGACTCGGGGGAAGTGGTCAAAACGTATCCAGCCTCTGGCCAGCTCTTTCTAACATGTCTGCTACTAACCAATCAGCTTTATCCCCCACTCCACAATCCCCCCTGTGTTAACTTGGTGATGGGAACACCAATGAATGTCAAGGGACAATGGCTATATTCTGTCTTGCTGAAGATGGTCATGGCCTGGTATTTGTGTGGCGTGAATGTCACTTGCCACTTGTCAGCCCAAGCCTGGATATTGTCCAGATCTTGTTGCATATGAACATGGACTGTTTCAGTATCTGAGGAGTCGTGAATGGTGCTGAACATTGTGCAATCATCGGCGAACATCCCCACTTCTGACCTTATGATGGAGGGAGGGTCATTGATGAAGCAGCTGAAGATGGTTGGGCCTAGGGCTACACCCTGAGGAACTCCTGGAGCTGACATGACTGACCTCCAACAAGCACAATCACCTTCCGATGTGCTATGACTCCAATGAGCAGAGAGTTTTTCCTTTGATTACCCACCTCCCCCCAACCCAGTGTTTCTACACTCATTCACAGTCTCTCTCCTACCCAGTTCTGCAATGTTTACTCTGGCTGTTTATTTGTGCAGGATTTCAAGACCATTCTGCAGAGGAAGCCAGTTGAAAGTGAAGCAGTTGCAAGCAGCTCCCCTGAACTTTCAGTGGAAACATCTTCAAACACACCAACAGAGGATCCAGGAGCAAGCCGTCGAAGAATTACCAAATCGTGAAAGTTGTTTGTAATTGGCAATTATAACTGGGTCAGAATGTGGATGTCATTCAGTAGCTGGAATAAAACCACATAGAATTCGGACTACCAGAACTCATTCTTTTAATCAAAACAAAATCCTGCACATGCTTGTCATCTGACACTAGTGCAAAGAATGCTAGAGAAACACTGCAGATTTTTTTATATTTACTCATGGGATGTGCATAATGACTGGGTCAGCATTAATTGCCCGTCCTTAGTTGCCCCTTGAGAATGTGGTGGTGAGCTGCCTTCTTGAACTGCTGCAGTGCATGTGTTGTAGGTAGACCCACAGTGCCCTCAGGGAGGAAATTCCAGGATTTTGACCCAGCGACAGTGAAGGAATGGCGATATATTTCTAAGTCGGGATAGTGAGTGACTTCGCATACATCTACTGCCCTTGTCCTTCTAGATGGAAGTGATCGTGGGTTTGGAAGGTGCTGTCTGAGGATCTTTGGTGAATTTCTGTAGTGCATCTTGTAGATAGTACACACTGCTGCTACTGAGTGTCGGTGGTGGAGGGAGTGGATGCTTGTGGATGTGGTGCCAATCAAGCGTCTGCTTTGTCCTGGATGGTGTCAACCTTCTTGTGATGTTATTGGAGCTGCACCCATCCAGGCAAGTGGGGAGTATTCCATCACACTCCTGAGTTGTGCCTTGCAGATAAAAAAAAGAACTGTAGATACTGTCAAATCAGAAACATAAATAGAAAGCTCAGCAGGTCTGGCAGCATCTGTGAAGAGACATCAGAGTTAACGTTTCGGGTCTGGTGACCCTTCCTCAGAACTGATGGAATCTGGGAAAATGTCCATTTATATCCAGAAGATAAGGTGGTAACAGCCAGATTGTTATCCACTCCTTTGTCTGTCCAACTGTTCTTGTCTTTCTTTGGGCTATATCCCCACCTCATTTGCTCCTTGTAAATTGCCTGCCACTTTAACGCACCACCCTGCTCCCTGGCCAACATTTCTGTCTCTGACTTGCTGCAGTATTCCAGTGAAGCTCAGCACAAGCTATAAGAACAACACCTCATTTTCTGCTTGCGGACCCTACAGCCCTCCGGACTCAATGTCAAGTTCAATAATTTTAGGGCCTAAACTCTCCCGTGTCCCAGACCCCACCCCACACACTAGGCCTTGTTACCGCATAGCCTGCCATTAGACACTTCCTATTGTTTGCCACTAACAGTCCCCCAATTCACTCTCCTAGCCAGATCATTATCCATTTCGATGTCTGTCCAACTGCTCTTCTTTCTCTTTGGGATCTATCCCCACCTATTGTTCACCCCTTACCCCTTCCCCTCACCCTATCTTCTGTATATAAACTGACATTTTCGTAGCTTCCATTAGTTCTGAGGAAGGGTTACTCAACCTGAAACATTAACTCTGATTTCTCTTCACAGATGCGGTGAGTCCAGCTGAGTTTCTGGTCAATGATAACCCCCAGGATGTTGATAGTGGGGGATTCAGTGATGGTAACACCATTGAATGTCAAGGGGCGATGGTTAGATTGTCTCTTATTGGTGATGGTCATTGCCTGGGCATTTGTGTGGTGCAAATGTCACTTGCCACTTGTCAGCCCAAGCCTGGATATTGTCCAAATCTTGTATGTGTTATATAGACTGCTTCAGTATCTGAGGAGTCAAGAATGGTGCTGAACATTGTGCAATCATCGGTAAACATACCCACTTTTTTTATACTCAGTCTCGGGATGTGGGTGTCACTGATGAGGCCAGCATTTATTGCCTGTCCCGAATTGGCATGTACGCAATTAAGAGTCAACCACATTGCTGTGGGTCTGGAGTCTCATGTAGACCAGACCAGGTAAGGATGGCAGTTTCCTACCCTAAAGGACATTAGTGAACCAGATGGTTTTTTTTCCCCTAACAATTGACAATGGATTCATGGTCATCGTTAGATTTCAAACTTTTACTGAATTCAAATTCCACCGTCTGCCCTGGGATTAACAGTCCAGTGATAATACCACAAGGCCATCGCTTCCCCTACTGACCATATGGTGGAGAGAGGGTTATTGATGAAGCAGCTGAAGATGAGGAACTCCTGCAGAAATATCCTGGAGCTGAGATGATTGACCTCCAACAACCACAACCATCCTCCTATGTGTCAGGTATGACTCCAACCA